GAAGTCAGAAGTGAATGACAAGAATCACGAGATGGAGGAGATTCGTAAGAAACTAGGAGGTGCCAACAAGTGAGTGGGTTCAGGCCTTGGGTGGGAGGAAGTAGGTAGAGCAGGCAGACTTCCAGATTTGGGTCTCACCTAGCTCCCTGGACCTTTTTTTAGGGAAATGACCCATTTACAGAAGGAGGTGACAGCCATTGAGACAAAGCTTGAACAGAAGCGCAGTGACCGCCACAACTTGCTACAGGCCTGCAAGATGCAAGACATCAAGTTGCCACTGTCAAAAGGCACCATGGATGATATTAGTCAGGAGGAGGTGAGTATTATGGCTGGTGGTGGGAGTGGGCTGTGAACAGCAATAACCAGGGATGGGGAGTGAAAGTGGCCAGGAAGGACAGTGAGAGAGAGGATGGTGGGCAGACAATGAAGGGATTCAGGAGAGATGAGGCAAGGTGAGGTGGTGAAGGCAGGTGAGGTGAAAGTAATAATAGCCTTGATGTGAGAGGGATGTTGAATTGGGAGAGCTGCAACCCCCCGCCCGTGGATGGTGAGAGAGTTGAGCCAGGAGACGACGAAGGAATTCATTACCCTTGGGAACTTGAGCTATGTTAGCTCCAGCAGGTGATGGATATTGGTAGGAGTAGGAATTGAAGGACATTATCCAAGAACGAAGGAAGATAGGAAGCTGGGGGACCTGAGGATGATAGCTTAGCTGCAATGAGGTAGGTTGGCCAGGAGAGGGTTGGGTAAGGGACATCAGCAATGCAGAGGTGCGGAAGCTTAGTTTTAGGAAAGGAAGGGACACTTGCCAATACAGGAGCCAAAGCATTTTATCCATTGGAGGCGAAGATTGGTAACAAGGGGGTGGGGGGTGTTAACCGAGAGGAGATTTGTGTATATCTTGTCTTAGACCTGGTCATGTGTCTCAGTCCCACATGTCTTCCACCCCCCTCCCCCTTCCCAAATGGCATTTCAGTTTAATTGAGTAAATTATAATATTTTGAGCACCAGAAATATTCTAGGCATCATGGTAACATGTGGCATAATCCTAATCCTAACCACAGCCCTGCAGGGCAGGTGTTGTCCCTACGTTACAGGTGAAGAAACTCAGGATCTGAGAACATGACTTGCCCAGGATCACACCGTTAGTAAGTGGGTAGAGCCCAATTTTGAACTCAGGTCATTCTGCTCACAAAGTTTCTGTTCCTTTTGCCACAATGCTTTCCAGCAAGATGCTATCTCAAAGATTGAAGGCTGCAAAGGAGTCCCCAGCCTTTCTCTAGAGGAGCACTCTCAAGGCCAGTCTGCTTCATTTGACTCTCCCTCTCACCATTGCAGGGTAGCTCCCAGGGGGAGGATTCAGTAAGTGGTTCCCAGAGAATTTCCAGTATCTATGCACGAGAGGCCCTCATTGAGATTGACTACGGTGACCTGTGTGAAGATCTTAAGGTGAGGATCAACCATGGGGGTGGGCCATCTTCCTAGCTGTCCAGAGCAAGGATCAGCCCATCTGGAGGCTCTGTGGAGACCATGGCTAGAAAGAGGGGAGAGCTGGCAAGGGAGAAGGATTGAGTTGTGAGCCAGGGTCTTCCCCTCATACATATACACAGATACATGCACACCTTCCACCCTGCACCCGCAGTTGCTGCTGTCCCTGCTTGCTGTCAGTCTTCCCCTTCCATGTGTATACATGGCTAAGCCCAAATACACACACAGAGAACAGGCTCCTGTACGGTGAACAGATTGGCATCAAGTCTTCCTCAGGGCTCTTTCCTCCTCATTTGGCATTCTCTCCTGGGTAGCACTTCACTCCCCTGGCTTCAGCTGCTGTCTCTGTGCTAGGTTAAGTTACAGAAATTTTCAAATATATATGGAAGTAAAGAGAATGATAATAATGAACCTGAGGCACCCATCACCCAGCTTCAACAGTTACAACATGTGGTCAATCTTGTTTTTTCTCCCTGCTCCCCCCACCATTGGGCTGTTTTAAAGCAAATTCCAGACATTATTCCATCCATAATTACCTTAGCATGTATCTCTAGAATATGAGGACTCTTTTAAAAAAACATAACCACAATATCATACCAGAAAATATTTAATAATAACTACACAATATCACCTAATAGTCAGTAAATCTTTAGATTTTCATGACCGTCCCATACATTTTTATTTATTTTTTATTTTTTGCAGTTTATGTGTTTAAATCAATTTTCAAGTAAGGTCCATGTTAAAATTGGTCTCTGCTAGTCTATGACATTTTCCTATCCTTTTTAATTTTTTTCTTCCTATTTATTTATGGAAGAAACTGGGTCATTGGTACCATAGAATTTTCTACATTCCAGATCTGGATTTGACTGATTATGTCCCCATGATGTTACTTAATCTGTTCTTCCATCTCCTGTATTTCCTATAAACTAATAAGTAAACCTAGAGTTTGATTGGATTCAGGTTCTTTTTTTTATATCATAGGCAGTACTGTGTACTTGTGAACTTCCTTTTGTATCACATCAATAGACACCTGATGTCACTTCTTTCTCTTTCTCTCACTCTCTTTCTTTCTCTCTCTTTAATGTTAAAATTGATCATTGTTCAGCATTACCTATGAAATATTCTTGCCAAAAACTCAAACGTGGATCTGATCAAGCTTACATTAAAGCATAGGGATGCAGTTAGCCAAATCCAGACTGGGAAACTCTAAAGGACAAAAGACCTGATTTCTTCCATAAGTAAATGGGGAGAAAAAACAAAGAGGGAGGGGGAAGTGTTACCACAAAAGACAAATCAACCAAATGAAATGTGTGGACCTCACTTGAATCCATTGCAAAGGAAAGAGAGGGAGAGGGACCTTATAGAGTAAATGAGACTTAAGAGACCTGTCAGTCAGTTGCAATGTATGTACCTTATTTGGAACCTACTTTGTAAAATCTGTGTAAAAAGAAAATTTATAAAACAGGGCAATTTGAACACTGACCAGGTATTTTATGATGTTAGGGAATTACTGTTAATATTTTTAGGTATGATAATGGTATTGCGGTTTTATTTTTTTTTAAGTCCTTATCTTTTATAGGAGTGGTTCTTAATGAGAGAGTGGATATCTTGTCCCCCCAGGGGACATTTGACAATGTCACAGAGATGCTCTTGTCATGCCCATTTGTCACAACTGGGGTCGGGGGGGTTACTATCCACATCAGTGGGTAGACACCAGGGATGCTGCTAAACATGCTATGATGCACAGGACAACCCCCACAACGAATCACCCAACCCAAATGCTAATAGTGCTGAGGTTTAGAAACCCTGTTTTAGAGATACACACAGATGTATGGATGGAATGATATGTCTGGGATTTGCTTTAAAATAAGTGAGTATAGAAAGGAGTTCGGGGGTGGAAATAGCAGGGTATTTGGCATAAGTTGATAATTGTTGAAGCTGAGTAATAGGTACATGGGTTTCATCATATTTTTCTCTGAGTTTTTGTGTGTATTTGATAGTTTACATAATATAAAGTTAAAAAAACAACCACATGACTAGGTTCAGGTGGTGTTAGCCTAACACATTTTTATAAAGTTTCCTATTAACCTTTCACGAATTGGTTTTGGCAGCTGTTGATGATTATTGCTTAGGTTCATTAAGGGTTGCAAAATGATAACTTTCTAATTCTTTCATTCTTCCTATATTTATTTGTTGGAATTCTAAAATGAATTTTCTCACATCAACTATTTAGCTTCCTTGAAATACAGTTAGTACAGGAAAGGTAGGATAAATACTTAATACTTTTCCTTTGTTTTCTAGCTTTCATAATCATGACTTGGTTGCCCTTACCACCTTCAAAGGTGACCAATGAGGCTTTTAATTTGTATTCATTATAAACTTAAATGTTTAGAGGTATTTTACATGTTTCAGTCTATTGTCACTTTCTTCTTGGTGCTCAAATTCTTCATCCTTGGCCAGTGGGAGCCACTTTAAGTTGATTTTTGTTTGTTTGTTTATTTATTTTTTTCATTTATTGTTATTTTTTGATTTTTATTATGGAAAATTTAATATGCAAAAGTAAAATAGTAAAATGCTCCCTCGTAGCCGTTGCCGTTTTTTTCTTTTTGATGTGTTCACTTATTTTAATAACAATACATATACCGTGTTATCACCATGGAATGTGAGTTCAGATTACACAAGAGAATTTGAGAAGTGTAATAAAGTATTCTGTAGTATATCAAAGTTTGTGTATAATGTCTGGCCAAACCAGCTTGCTCATAAATCATTAATCACTCCCATTATAGGCAATTTGTTTAGTTTAACATTTCTAGTTCTTACAAAGAAAATAAACATAATGCACACACTTAAAAAAGTTCTTTATTTACCTATGTATTAGTGCTTAAAATACATTATTTCTATTTCAAGGTGACATTTAAAAATTGCTCAAATATAACAGCAGCAAAAATATAATTTTGCAATCACAGAAGAGCTAAACTGGAATCCATAATTAAGTTTTTCTCATGTTTACAACTGTGATTCTGAAATAAATACTACTACTATGCAGCTCTGTTGTAAGCTTTCTAGGCTTGGTTTAAACACATACACATACACTTTCAATTTGAAAGGCTTTACAAATTATATTCATGCACTTTTTTAAAAGAGTTCTAAAAGAGCCAACCAGTCCCCAAAACTGAAGTATTCAACCAGTCCCCAAGACAGGCAGAAAAAAGTTAAATTAACTGGGGTAAACAGGACTCCTACATGACACCCACAGCATGCAATGTTCTGCAGCAGACGGGGAGTACTTCAGGGTTGGCCTGCTATCCTCTTTAGAACTGATTTCGTTTAACAGTTTAAGAAGGTGGACATTTTAACATCGTCAAGTGCATTTAGGTGACGTGTTTCTTTTTGTGTTAACTTGATTCCCGTGAATGTCCTAGTTAGTGAACTAGTCACTAGTAATTTGGTCACCAGGCAAATCAAGCCTACAAGAAGGGAAGCCAATATTCAAAATACTGTATTATTGTCTGAACTCATTCAAATAATTTATTTTTGACATAGATAAGTAACTTAATAACTAAAGCAGCTCCTCCGACAAGACCAAGACAGCAGCTCTTCTTCTAAGGTTTAGGTTTTGCCCAGAATTCCCAATACATGGAATAGCCCATACCAAGAGTCATTGCTCCCACAACAAAGCCTTGGGCTGCCACGCACATGTGGATCAGGTGAACGGACATTTTAGTATTTCCCCTGCTCTTCAATTTGTATAATCCATATGCAACAATTGCTGCAAAACCTGCCATTCCAATGGGGACAAATGGTGCCTCTTTAGCTTTTCGGGTAAGTTTGGATCCCTGATCTTCATCATATGAAGAAAGAGAAACGTCTGTGTCGGTTGACATAGTGATTGCTTGAAGAATCTTCCACAGCGAGAAAATCCCTGTGGGTCCTACGGGCTTTTTCCCATTGCCAGTTTTAACAACTATCAACTCATGGCCAGACTTGTTTAATGTGCACCCCCACATACTTTATCTTCCGTCCTTCCTCCCAGGTTACGTTAAAATAAATTCTGTACATCATTTCATTTGTAAGTATTGCAGAATGTATCTCTAAAAGAGATAAGAATTCTTAAAAATAATTAGAACCATTATCATACCTAAAAATAATAATTCCTTCATATGAAGATTAGTGTTACATGTCTCTGATGGTCATACACAAACACATCTACTCTCACAGTTTGCTTGCTTGAATTGGGAGTCAAATAAGATGATTGACTGATAGATATGGATGATTGATAAAGCAATTAGTTGATATGTCTCTTAAATCTCATTTAATATATAGGACCACCTCCATCTGTTTTTTTTTGTTTGTTTGATTTTTTTTGTGTGTGGGGGGGTTTTTTTTGAGTCAGAATCTCACTCTGTTGCCCGGGCTAGAGTGCCATGACATCAGCCTAGCTCACAGCAACCTCAAACTCCTGGGCTCAAGCGATCCTCCTGCCTCAGCCTCCCGAGTAGCTTGGACTGCAGGTATATACCACCACACCCAGCTGATTTTTTCTATTTTTAGTAGAGACGGGGGTCTCACCTTGCTCAGGCTGGTCTCGAACTTGAGCTCAAGTGATCCTCTTGACTTGGCCTCCCAGAGTGCTAGGATTACAGGCGTGAGCCACTGTACCCGGCCCATCTGTTTTTATTTTTATTTTTTTGCAGTATTTTTTGTTGTTGTTGAAGAAATTGACTCATTTCTCCTGAAGGTTTTCCACATTTTGTACTTAGCCAATTGCATCCTATGGTGTTTAAAATGCTCTGCCCCCACCCCCAAAAAACCTCCCAAAATAGTTCTGTTATCTCCTGTAGTTCCTGTAAGTGGTTAGTTAGATGTAGATCAGTGCTATTCCATAGAGATAAAATGAGGCCCACAAGTGTAATTTTAAATTTTCTAGTAGCCACATTTAGAAAAGTAAAAAGATAAAGGTGAAGTTAATTTTAATACTATATTATATTTAGCCCAGTATCCAAGAGTATCATTTCAATGTGTGAACAATATAAAAATTATTGATGAGATATTTGACAGTCTTTTTTTGTACTGAGTCTTCACAATCCAATATGCATTTTATACTTACTGTGCATCTCAGTTCAGACGCTAAAATTTCCTCAGAAATAGTTGATCTGTATTTAGATTTACTGAAATTTACAATTGAAAAAGCAGACCCACATACCCAAGTTGTTCCAAATATACTTAAAGAAAAGTTTTCCATTAACTGAATTGAACATCAGGTTTTCAGTTCAAATGAGCTAAAATTCCGTAAAACTAAGATTTTTTTCCGTAAAACTAAGACTAAATTCCTTAGTCGCACTAGCCACATATCATGTGCTCAGCAGTCACATGTGGTGACTGCATTGGATAGCATAGATGTAGAGGCTTAATTAGATTCAAGTTTTGGGGTTGACTGGTTTGTTGTGGTCATAGGTGGTGGTGTTACTTCCATTAGGAGGTACGTAACATCTGTTTGTGGCTCTTTTTTTGTGGTTTGCAGCCATAATTGCTTAGATCCATTAATTTGTCAAGCAGGTGATCTTATTCTATCATTTCTTTGCTTATTAGCTGGAATACTATAGAGAAATACTTCCTTTCATCATCTATTTGGTTACCCTGAGGTACAGTTTGTATAGGAAAGGCAGGAGATGCATATGTGTATATATCTATGTATCTATCTATATATATATCTATATATATATATGCTTGATTTTTTTTTCCCTTCATCGGTTTATACAGTAATGAGTTGGTTCCTTGGCTTCCTCAAGATTTGTCCACTGAGTTGTTTCATATCATTATAAATTTATGAATTTAAATATATTTGGTGTCTTTCAGTCTGTTGTGGTTATTATCCTTGGTGCTCAGGCTGTCCCATTTGGCCAGCAGTAACTCATTCAGTTTGGCTTCTGAATCATTTGGATACAACCTTTGTAGTCTTTGATATCTTCCTTGCTTTCTGATATGTCCAGGCTCGTCCTCTACATTTCGCACCCCGGACCTGGAATCAGCCATTTCTCCCAGAAGCTATGACTTCTTTTGGTGGGAAATGCTATTATTTAGCAACTATCATTTGGACACTGGAGTGTTCATGACTGCTGGGTTGTGCAGTGAGGTTCTTGTTGTCATTAAGCTAAAGAAAGGCCCATTGGGCATGTATGGTCATGTTCCTATGTTTTAAAATAATTTGAAAGAATTCTGTGAGTGTTTAACCAGCTTAATTTATGGTTAGGTTTCTTTGTTTTATTTTGTTTTCCATTTTTAGGAATTGCTCTTTTTAGCATTTCAATTTATTTTTTCCCAACTTTAATTTTGAAATGTTTCAAACCTAGAGAAAAATTGAAAGAACAGTAAACACCCATATGCCTTTCACCTTAGATTCGCCAATGAATATTTTACCACATTTACTTTCTCTCTCATCTCTCCCCTTCCTCCTGCTCATCCTGCTATGTGCAGTTTTTTCTGTTGAACCTTTTGAAGGAAGTGCAGCTATAATGATACTTAACCCTAGATACTTTAGCATGCTAAGAACAAAGGGTTGTCCTACTTAACCATAATTTCATATTATACCTCAGAGAATGAATATTTATTTCATAATATTTAATGTCCAATCCATATTTGAATTTCCCTAGGTGTTCCAAAGGTGTCTTTTATAGTTTGTTTTTTTTTTTTTTCCTTTCTTTTTGGAACTAGGATCCAGTCAAGATTTATGAATTGTTTTTTGTTATTGTTAATATGTCCCTTTAGTTCCTTTTGATATGGAGTGGGTCCTTCACCTTTTACTCGTTGCGTTGGTCTTTTGAAGAGTCCGTGTAAGTTGTCTTAGAAAATGTCCCACATTCTGAATATGTTGGGTATTTTATAGTATTGTTTAACCTGTTGTTCCAACCCTTATATCTCCTATAAATTGGAAATTTGGTCTAGTCTGGAGGCTGAATGGATTTGGGTTTAAGTATTTTTTGTCAAGAACCACTTTGTTAGTGAACTTTACATGATATCCTACCAGGACGAGCCCACTATTGGTGATGCTGAGTTTCATCCCTTTAGTTAAAGTATTAGGTGCTAGGTCCTTCAATGCTAAACGTACACTTTTACCTTTGTCATTAATTAGTAAGCAATCTTTAGGGCAATGATTTGGCATCTTGTGAATATCTTGTTCCTCAACCATTTTTTGCCCAGTGGTTCTCACATTTTGATATAATTTTGTTTTTTAATTATATAACACCTTCATGTGGTTCTAAAACCAAAAGTTTAAAACAAGGTGCATGAAGAGAACTCTAGCTTCCATTCCTGTCCCCTTCACCTCTCTTTCTCGATAGGTAACCCTTTTAAATAGCTTTTGGATTATCCTTTTTTTATTATTGTATGTTTGAAGTACAAATGTATTTGTATGCAAATATATTTATATTCTCTCCATCTTCTCTTAGAAAATAGATAGCATTACTATTGTGTACCTTTTATATTTTATTTAAAACTCTACCTGGAAACCACTCCATAGCAGCATATAGAGATCTTAAGAAGGGCCTTCCGAAATGTAAATATGTTTATGTCCTTGTTCTTGAAATCATTCAGTGGTACCTCATCTCCCTTGGGCTAAAGTCTAAACCTTATAAGGCACTTCATGATCTGACTTCTACTTGTCTATCTGGCCTCTTCTCTTCCTGTGCCCTGTGCATACACACACACAATTGGTCAGGGGGGGATTTCGAAGTTTATTAAAGTTGGTCACTATTTTGAATTGCTTTCAATTCGATGAATTAACCATGAGCAAATCCCCCTGCCCGCCCCCAGCTTTTGCCTGTGATGCTGCTGGTTGCATAGAAGATTGTTCCTTCTCTCTGTCCTCACTCATTCATCCTGTAGGGCTTAATGTAAACATATTCCTAGAAGCCTTCCTTACCCCAGAGTCTGAGTTAGGTGCCCTTCTTGTGTGCTGATTCAACATTGCTTATACATTCATCCTATAGTATTCTGATTGTTTACTTATATGCATTCTTCTGTTAGACCCCTGAGCTCTGTGAGCACAGGAACCATGGCTCACAGGACGTGACAGCCCCAGTGCCTGGCACTCGGTAGGCATTCGGTAAATATTTATTGACTAAAAGTGGCAGAAAGGCACAAGCCCAGACATGCATTGCAATATCCATAAGACCTAAAGCCAAATTCAAGTGGAATTTGCTCAGAAGTGGTGATCTAAGCAGAAAATGTGAGTTGCCTTATTTATTATGGAGCTGTAAGTGTAGTCCAGAGCAGCCTGTGTGGGGAGCCTCTAGGTCACCGTGGGATTGTGCTGGCTTATGGCCTGGGCTGAGAGTCAGAGAGGGGTACCACCAGCTGCTTTTCCTGAGAGATAGAGAGGTTGGCAGGGCCTGGGGGAAGGGCTAGAGTAGAGATGAGAAAGTGGCGTCAGCCTGTAATTTCCAGGGATGATGGGAATGGTTACTGGTGGAAGGAGCCAAACTGGGGAAAAACCTGCCTTCTGCATGGGCACAGGGGCCAGGCCCTTCTTGATGTTGCTGGGCGTTGGGCTTGCAGGATGCCCAGGCTGAGGAGGAGATCAAGCAAGAGATGAACACACTGCAGCAGAAGCTGAATGAGCAGCAGAGTGTGCTTCAGCGTATTGCTGCCCCCAACATGAAGGCCATGGAAAAGCTGGAAAGTGTCCGAGACAAGTTCCAGGAGACCTCAGATGGTAAGATTTGCCCTTCTACTTGGGCCTAAGATGAGGACAAGAGGCTGGATGCAGGCCACAGGCCTGCTATACATCACAACAGCTCCTGTTTTTACATGCTTTCTTACCCTAAACAGTGGGAGTTATTAAATATCACACCTGTGTTATAGAGTGGAAAACTGCTGAGGTTCTGAGAGGGTAAATGACCTGTTTTTTTGTCCGAGGTCACACAGCTGGTTG